AGTCGGATGCTCAACCGACTGAGCCACCCAGGTGCCCCTAAAAGTACTAATTTCTAAAAGTGGCAATTAATTTGGTTAAAAAACTGCACACATAACAAAAAGGGTGTAGGCCAATTTAAACTCTTCTGTGAGCCTCCAGGGCACAGCTTTCCCATAAACTTACCGCCCCCCAGGCCAGGTCAGGTTTCTGCAGCCCTTGGAGGGGAGGAGACGGTAGTGACAGTTGGATCTGCCCCGCAAGCCACTCAGATCCCAAATCCTCCTCTTCTGCACCTGTCTCAGAGCAAGGGTGTCTGAACTATGAACGTGATTGTGCGGCCAGAGCCCAGCTTTGCCCAACTTTGCCACATCTGACCCAGAAACAGCTGGAAGAGATGGGAGGATGACCATCCCACGTGTTGTGTGAATTGAGCACCTACTACATGCCTGTCACTGTTCCAGGAGTTGGAGACAGCAGTGAGTCCAAGAGGCCAGCCCCTCCCCTGGTGGCACGGACATTAAGGTGCGTGCGCACAGGAGGGAGGCACAAGTACAGACAGACGCAAACATGCAAATATTCCATCAGGGGTGATGCATGCTGTGCTGTGAGAAACGGAGCAGGGAAAGGGAGACCAGGAGGGGCGAAGGCCCCGAGGTGAGAGTGAGGTGTCTGTCAAAGGTGATGGGAGCCAGAGATAAGATGCAGACATGCCTGAACGGAAGGTGCATGAAGGAGTCAGCGCTGAGAAGTGAGCAGGGGCAGGGCCCAGTGGGGCTCTCTCTCCTGGTGACCACATTCTCTGAACCCCACATGTAGGCCCAGAGGAGCTGCCGTCCTCTTTAGCGATTTCTGACATACAGTTTGTTCCTGTGCTCGCTCCCTCACATCCCTGGGCAGATAACCCTGTTCACACTCTCCTGTGAATCTTTTGTGTCTATAACATACACACTATCAAACGTCTTGAGTTCTTGAGGGTGGAAAGCCCGATTCTTGTTCGGCTCTGAGATCTCTCCACCTCTATGTTCCCCACAGTACAAACGTGTGCAAGTGAAATAATGACCTGATCTTAAGCATGTTACCGCACTTCTCACATCTTAGTTTCTTTTCCTGCAAAATGGGAATAATCATGGACTGTGGTGAGGAGGGAGGAGATGAAGGCTTTAAAACTTGGGAGCCCAGGTAACCTGGGCCTTGGGAGGCCCCTAGTGTTCTCAGGTTTTTAAAGGTCTCTCTAGCTATGAGCTATGAAAGGCCCTCCTTGGTCAGGGAATCCCCATTGACTTCCCTCCTGCCACCAGGGCAGCTAAGGGGGAAAGAAGCATGCTAGAAATCCCTCCTGGCTGCGCTTGTCCTTTCAGCCCAAATTCTTGTTGCCATGACTTATGATTTCATTTAAGCCATTTTTAGTCTGTAGGATGTTCCCTCCCACACCACAACCCAGGCTCATCTGAGCCCCATCCCTGGGTCTGAGTCCCAACAAAGGCAGGCCCAGGGGACAAGCAGCCACCAAATCCAAGATAGGGCTTTCTGGGAGTGGCTGGCAGAGTCCCTTGGAGATGGAGAGTGGCCAGCAATCTGGAGACCCCCACTGGCATCTGGGTTCCCCCGAGATTCTCCCGCTAGAGACAGAGGGGCGTCGTCTCGGCCACCTCCCCGCTCCCCGTCCTCTTTTTTTTTTCCCAGGCTGCGGGAGGCGAAGGGTTAAATCCCATAGAGCTGATGCTCTGACTCCAGGCTAGAGGGGCCCGGGAAGCTGGGGTCACTTCCTGCTCCGTCCCAGTCACCCTGAACTGGTCCCCGGGTCCTCAGCCTGGGATCACCCCTTGAGAAGGACCCCAGAGTCCTCGGCGTCCAGCCCGCCCCCCGAGGCAGGGCATTCAAGGGGTTAAGTCCCCTGGGGCTGGATTCTGCCTTCCGGCCTTCCCCAGACCCCAGAGCCGTGAGTTGGGGACGCCTGGGTTCCTGGGGGGTGGCCCGGAGGGCCCGGGACGGCCGCCGGGAACAATGGGGCGCGGGAGGCGGGGGCGCGCGGGCCTGCGCCCCCTCCCCGCCCCGGGCGCCGGTGGGGTGGGGGCCGGGCCGGGGCCGCGAGGGGCCGAGGATTCTGGGAAGAGCGCGAGGGTCTGGCTGTGGGGGAGGGGAGGGAGGGCGTGAGCATTCTGGGAAGAGGGAATTGGGCCGCCGGCGGGCCGGGGCGCCGCGGAGCGCCGGAATCCTGGGGGCCCCGCGGGCAGGGGAGGCCGGGATGCCGGTCTCCGGCCCGGGAGCCGGAACAGGGTCGTGGGTACCGGCCCGAGCAGAAGTCCAGGGTCCGGGCTGGTGCGGGCGTTGGGGTGGGGGGGTGCCGGGGCCAGGGCGGCTGCATTCCCGCAGCTGCCTCCATGTCAGGGTCACCCTGGGCCGCTCTCCGCACCTCTGTGAGGCAGCCTCCTGCTTCTCTCCTTCCCTCTCTCCTTCCCTCCGCAGCTCGGCTGGAGCGGGGTCCAAGGCCGGTGCCCTGGGGTCTGGGCCTGGGTGGGCTCTCAGTACTTCTTGTCTCCCTTGGTGTTCCCACTTTCCTACTCCATGGCGGCCTTGGCTTTAACCCTTTCCCTTCTGCTCTGGACAGCTGAGCTTGAATTTCTCAGGACATTCAAGGTACATGAGCTCTTACCTGTCCTAGGCGAGCACAGCAGGCCTCTTCAGAATAGGCAGCCCCCAGCTCAGCGGAGGCTCCCTGCCTCCACCACTCCAAAGACACTTACAGATGGGGGAGGGGGCATCCTCATAGTCTACGTTGCTGCAGAGATGAAGAAATTAATTTACTTCCCAAAATCTAACTCCCATCCCTCCTGCTGCTGTTTGGCAGGGTCCGGCTAGCTCCTGCTTCACTTTGGTTGTCTCCCAGCTGCCTCCTCATGAGTCTTTTCCGCATCTTCTTGCACCACTGCCCCCATACATGCAGTGCCCATCCCACACAGCCACTCACAGCCCCGGGCCTCCCCAGGGACTCTGTTCAGGCTCTAAACATTGTGGGAACCTAGAATTTAGCTCCCGTGGCCTTATGCCCTCATCCTGGAATCCTATCACCCTTTTTGGAGTGATAGCTACCTATGTTTTACCTGGAGGCCACTCTGGACTCCTGTTCCTTTGCTGTCATCCCCTTGCAAATTGACCCTTAAAGGCATTAGGCCACCCAGGTTTTCCAGGAACAGGGGCATCTCATTCATTTCACCTTCATTCATTCAACAAAACTTAGCAAGCACCTCTTTATGTGTCAGGCACCGTCCTAGGCATGGGATACGGCACCAACAAAACAGAGCAAATGAAATAGAAGAAGGGGTGCCAGGATGGGCATGATAATGGTAGGCTTCGGTGGGGAGTACTGTTTTGAGATCACAGGTGCAGACTGTCAGGCCTAGTCACTGGATTCAGCAAGTCACGGAAACCTCTTGGTCCTGGGAATTTCTCTATCTTGTGGCCAGCAGGTTCTGTCTGAGCTGTCTTCATCACCATCTCCTGCCAGCAGCCCACATTTATGAGTTTCACGTGACTCCCAAGGTCATCTCCCTCTCGGAGGCCAGGGCAAGCCAGACACAGAACCTTGCATTTCTGGTCTTAGTGCTGCCACTTCCCAGTCTGTGACCTTGGAGAAATCTCCCTGCGTGTTGATTTCCTGATCTGTAAAATGGACAACCTGATTCCTGGGGCCCCTAGCAGGCCTGTGGGGAGGATTGGGAGAGATAACAAGGACACCACAGACACCGTGTCAGCTGCTGGGCACCCTCCACACACCTGTCCCTTCTCCCTTTGCCTTTCCACTTCCCTCTCAAGGTCATTCCTGCTGAAGCCCCCGATGGCTTTTAACTGCCACCACCGCCCCCCACCCCTCCTCCCCACCCTGGCTGCTCTACCCTTCCCCGGCTGCTTGACCTTCTTTCTGTGTGGATAACAGATAACGGGAAAATGCCCCAGTGCTTTTGGAGAGCCCCTGTCCCCTCAGGGAAATCTGATTGCTTTTTTTTTTTTTTTTTT